TTTATAGGAGCGTTGAATAACTCAAGCTTTTAAATAATAATAACTTAAATATTAACGTATTTTAAATTCAAAATATAATCACATGCAGGCAATCTCTGTATAATATAGAACTTCTACAACATAGTTTTGCTCTAATACTGTCAAAGAGTTGCAATAAATTTCCTGTAATACGGTATTTTTAAGCTTTCTTACAAGAAAAAAATTCGTTTTTACGTTATAATGTTAATAATAATATTTTTATATTACGTAAATCCTCATTGTTGAATCATTAAAATGGGAAATACTCATATTGTACATTTTTGGAAAATTTTTATTACTGAACTCGTGCTTATTTGAGACAATTAAAAATTAACTTTGAAGAGTGCATTGTGTAATTCTTAAGATTTTAAATCGATCGGCTATTCATTTTTTCGGTTGTGTATTACAGCATATTTCTTAAGAGCTGTTTTTTGTTTTGAATTAAATTCCTAAATTATACCTAAAGAAATTAAATAAGCACTGCTTAAAACAAACTTTATTTTTCTACAATCAAAAGGTACAAATTTTAAATCGTCTTGAAAAACTAGAAAAAATATCATGCACTGTGAAATATGTAAATTTAATTAAAGCAACATTCCAGACCATAAAAAAGTTATAAAAAAATAGAAAATTAAAATTGCTATTGCTGCATTGCCATTGCTGCACCTAACCTAACCTAACCTAAAGCCTGGTTTCCACATGCGGTAAAGTTACGACGGAAAACTGGAACAGAAAATGAAAAGAAATTTTACATGTCAATTCTTTTTCCGTAAGCTACTAGGATACAACGGATACACTAATTAATTAATAAGTCGTTTTTGCGTGATAGAAAATGCTACTTTGAGTAAGTACAGTACATTAAGAACAATAATTTATTACAGATAATTTTAATAAAATTTAAATAAAACTTTGAAAGTTTAATTTTTAGTTTTATGAGAATGACACCAGAATTATTCGATGAAATTTTATCGGTAGTGGAACGAATAATTTATGCCATCATTTTTACAAATAACGTCTCGCTGAATACGTTTTTTATGGACTATCGACTATCTCTTTTCGCATTCGAAACCAAAAAACTTCACATTTCTTACTGTGGAACGGAAACATTTTCTATTTTATATTTTCCATTTCTTCTTTTGCTGTAATTTTCCGCAAGTAGGCAGCTGATTTTAACCCCCGTTTTCATACTAGTTATTAATTCTGTATATTCGCAAATGCATACATTTCTTGTTTCAGATTATTTCATTATACAAGCAGTTTTTAACAAGAAACATCTCAAAAATTGCATGAAAGTACCCTAGTTTACGGTAATTTATTTTAAAACGATAAATACACACACTATAATATTACAATATTTGTTGGCCTAAATCATATATATACAGTATATATAAACCACTGTAAAAATGAATCGTTTATCATACAGAACTTATATAAATTAAGTCTCTTATTTTTGTTGACAATTATTTTAATTGGGGAGATATTACAAGAATAGTGTTTTATCTTTCCATCTACTTGATGATTGTCAATACAATGTAGCACACGATAATATATCGAGTGTTTTCAACTATTCTACATTTTTACATTATTTATCTTTCTGTTTGTTCTTGTTAAATAGAATTTCTTCAGAATTACTTGCAAAAATATCGGAGATTTCAAATGTTATATTCTACTTCGTAATTAACACGAAACTACAGAATTTTCCTTTGCATATCGGCTCCATTCTTATTCTGGGAAAATCTATAAAGCTCTTAAAATATTTTAAAACAAGATTTTACTTTTAAATTAAACTATTTTTTTATTTAAAATAAATGTTATTTTTAAAATTTTAAGAATTTTAAAAATGTATTTGTGTAATCCATAGCAATAAAATAAATTTATATAAATAAAATTATATTTATGATTGACAAATTTATGAAATAAAAAAATACTTTTCTATCAGATTTTTTCACAAATTATATTTTGATTAATTCTCTTGGCCAAATGGCCCTGCTGGTCCTCTGATCCTATTTAGATTTTCGTATAAACAATAAATTTAATTATAGTATTCTAAATTAGATTTTTTAACAAATGTTTTTGTTAGAAATTCATAAAAACTTTTTACGAAGAAGAACTTTCGAGTTTTATTAATATTCTTTTCAAAAAAACAGCAATTGAATGGAGTAAGAATTTTTCAGTTCATCATATTATGTCACGTTCTTTTCTCGTATGCATTATGGATTCAAGGTCGTTTGTCAATGGTTTATATCGATTCAATATACTTCAAACATCACAAATAATAGTATCAATAAAAACAGAAATGTCATTGTGTGACCTTAAAACTAGTTTCCCAATAAAAAGTTTTTTAGCATTGGTGGTGAATAGATTTGATTTGTATTATAAATATAGAAAGGAAGTTCGTTAATCCGTCACCACTCTGATCCCGGAGGTGTCGTATTAAGGAACTTTTACTATACATTGTAAATAGATTTATGAGAAAAAACTATGCTATAATAAGTTCTATTATACATTAAAGATGAGTCTCACAAAATTATATTTAGATTATCTGTTCTACTGAAATATTAATTAATTAAGCAAACCTTTAATTTATTTACTCAGACATTTTTTTACAAACTTATTTAAGAAAACGCCCAAAATAACTTATAACGGGTAAAGATCTCCATATTTTGTTTTTTGAAAAATTTAAATTTAAATTTTGTCAGTTGAAACAATATTAAAGCTTAATAAACATTAAATTATTAGTCGCTATATAATATGCAAAGTTTTGTAGGCTGGACCTTCGTTCCAATGAAGAGGGACCGTGACAACCCGTTTTCTGTTTTATATTTATTCTTTTTGGTATTTTTAAGCTTTCTTACAAGAAAAAAATTCGTTTTTACGTTATAATGTTAATAATAATATTTTTATATTACGTAAATCCTCATTGTTGAATCATTAAAATGGGAAATACTCATATTGTACATTTTTGGAAAATTTTTATTACTGAACTCGTGCTTATTTGAGACAATTAAAAATTAACTTTGAAGAGTGCATTGTGTAATTCTTAAGATTTTAAATCGATCGGCTATTCATTTTTTCGGTTGTGTATTACAGCATATTTCTTAAGAGCTGTTTTTTGTTTTGAATTAAATTCCTAAATTATACCTAAAGAAATTAAATAAGCACTGCTTAAAACAAACTTTATTTTTCTACAATCAAAAGGTACAAATTTTAAATCGTCTTGAAAAACTAGAAAAAATATCATGCACTGTGAAATATGTAAATTTAATTAAAGCAACATTCCAGACCATAAAAAAGTTATAAAAAAATAGAAAATTAAAATTGCTATTGCTGCATTGCCATTGCTGCACCTAACCTAACCTAACCTAAAGCCTGGTTTCCACATGCGGTAAAGTTACGACGGAAAACTGGAACAGAAAATGAAAAGAAATTTTACATGTCAATTCTTTTTCCGTAAGCTACTAGGATACAACGGATACACTAATTAATTAATAAGTCGTTTTTGCGTGATAGAAAATGCTACTTTGAGTAAGTACAGTACATTAAGAACAATAATTTATTACAGATAATTTTAATAAAATTTAAATAAAACTTTGAAAGTTTAATTTTTAGTTTTATGAGNTAAATATTCTGTGCTGAAATAGGGGTGCCATAGAATACGGTATTTTCAAATTTATGCACTTATTTTATACCAGATTAGTTCATTATTCTAGTTTTAACAATACTATGCTAATATATAAAAATAAATCTATTACTTTTATCGATTTGGCAAGTTATTATACAGTAATTTATTTAACACGTGAATTATTCGATTAAGAATTTATTTTAGAATGTAAGAAAAATTGTTCATGGAGTTATTAATAAATGATATTTGCAAAATACAAAAATAATGACTTAAATTGTAATAAAACGAAATAAGTTAGCCTCTTGAATTTCCTGTATTTGTCATTAGATATATTGCACGCTAAGTGTCCAGATTAAACTTTCTATAAAATGATATCGATGATGATCTATCTCAGGAAATACTTAAATTATATAACTTTTGCAATAAATTAATTATAAATTTTACTGAAGATCAGAAAAGCTTTTATCTTTTTATGCGATTAATTTTTGTATATTGTGATAGATATATATGACAGACTTCGTAAATACGCGATAACACAGGGTTTACAATAAATTAGGACTTTTGATATTTTGTATTATTAATTAATAAGTGTATAGAATAACATATAGTATCAGAATTATTGGGATTGCTAATATAAATTTAAAACTTTGTACATATAAATGATAAATTTGAAAAGTGAGTGATTAATTCATATTAAATTTCATTTATATTAATTAAATGAAAAAATTTCTGCATTTAAATTTGATATTAAGCTTCTAAACGTTTAGCTTAGTGGTTAGTAGTACGGTACAGTCAATNAATAAATCACAACCAAGAAATTATAGTATATTTTTATATCTGTCAACTTCATGTTTTAAAACTACTGTATTTTACGATCAAGTTTCAGTTTATTAATTACCTTATAAACGATAATATGCTAATATTACACATTACAACTATAGCAAAACTGAAAAAATCTAATTTATATTACTTAATTTAACAACATTTAAGCAAAAACGATAATAAAAACAATTAACCAAGAGTGAAAATTCGAAAATATCAATTATTTGTTAAAATTATAATAAAAACATTTCAATTGAAAAAAATTATCGAATTTATTTAATTAAGTATTGTTAAAGTTTCATTTGGATTTAAGGCGTTTATTCTCACATTGAAGTAAATAAATTACGCTTTCTTTCTTATTTCCATTAAGTCTGAAAGACTCCATTTATTACAACAACTGGAGAACGTCCAATTTATCTCTTCCAGATTGGTTTGAATAGATTTCTTGAGGGATATAATACTTAAATATATTCTACTCGCTTGAGGAACTTTAAGGATTCCTGTAACAATCGTCAATAAACTCGGTTTTACAACTTACCTCGCCTTTACATTCCAATTAAGTAAGTACACAGTTCATAATACGTGGTACGTTGAATAATTACTTAAATTTATATATTATTTTCGTGTAATCAGAGTAAAAGTAGTAATAAGCCAATGATTTAATTAAACTTACGGGAATTCTATTTGCGTGTCTTTCCTATTTCATGATTCTAAGTAAAATTATTAATTCTTAAAAATTTCGTTTGTATGGGAATTAATCAGTACTTAAATATCACGTGAAGTCTGTAGGATTTCCTCAACAGAAACAGAAATAAGTTTCTAATGTATAAAAATTTCTAAATTCTACTTACGTTAATTGTATTTCGAAAATTNTATAAAATACATAAACTTACCTTCACCCGTAGACTCCATTCTAGAAGCAGTATTTACAGTGTCTCCAAAGAGACAATATCTTGGCATTTTAAGGCCTACTACGCCCGCAACGCAAGGGCCTAAAATAAAGAATCAATATGATATGATTATCTTATATTTGGTAAGTTAATTTTTGCTATTACATACTTTTAGTTACAACTGTTAGAAAGAATATTTTTACCTGAGTGTATGCCAATTCTTAATTTTAATCTATCGCCTGGCATGTGGCGAATTTCGAAAGTACGAATAGCATTTAACAAATGCAATGCCATAGAGGCAATTTGTGTAGCGTGTGAATTACCATTCGGTATCGGTAATCCACTTACTACCATGTAAGCATCACCTATAGTTTCTACTTTATAAACATCAAAGTTTCCTATAATCGAATCAAAACACGTATATAGATCGTTTAAAAGATCCACCACCTAAAAAAATAAAAATAATTAATTTAAAATACTAAAGACATTCTTTACATTTATTCTCAATAAATTACCTGAAGAGGTGTACTAACTGCTGAAAGAGCAGTGAATCCGACGATATCGCTAAAGTATATTGTAACAGAATCAAAACTCTCTGCTTCTACAGGTTCACCTCTCTTTAATTGATCAGCTACTGGTCTAAAAATGTATAAAATCTATAACTATGCTTTAATTTTTTGTAAAGCCATTAAATATTTTATATAACATTTATCTTAAACAGATTAATAAATGAATTATAAGCAATATGAAGAACAAAAGTAAACTTAGTCTCTTACTTTGGTAACATTCTTAATAATAGATTTTCGGTTTTCTTCTTTTCTTCAACTAATTGATTTGTCCTTTCTTGAATGAGACCTTCTAAATTATAAGCATATTTCTCCATTATCACAATCATATTGTCAAATATATTTGGTTTCCTAGTAAAAAGATATATTAGTAACTTTTTTGGATATGAAAAATAATATGATAAATTTACTCATTCTTACTGAAATACTTACAAACCAGCTTGCATATCTCTTAATTTAACATTTATTAAACGAAAATCTGGTCTAGAATCAGCATTTTCGTGCCAACATTCTTCCATACAACGTTTCACATAATCTTCGCAATCTAATTCATGAACTGGAGGTCGATATAATTCTCCATTATAATGATGAGGATTTACCACTTTATCTATAATACCTTCACATAGAAGCACAATATTGTCACATAATTGAAAGAATTTCATTTTTATAGACCAGAATTTATAACTAATGATTTACATTTATTTGGAGGAGCAAATTTTCCCCAAGGTCCCGTTCTTCCTATAATTTCGAATAGAATAATACCAAAGGAGTATACATCTCCTTTCTGAGTACCTCTAATTGGTCTGTTTAACATTCTCAATAGTTCTGGAGCTCTCCACAATTGATCTATTTCAGGAGAAATTGTTATTTATGTAAAAATCAATTCTTCCTATATTATGAGAAACTTATTTATTTTATTTACCTCTAAGATATTTCTTTTCTAAGTGATTAGGTATTTCTTCTCCAGACTTAAATTCGTGTAATCCGAAATCAGAAATTTGAAGTACCCATCGATTGTCCACTAAACAATTCGATGATTTAAGATTCCCATGAGAAACTATTTCGCTTTCATGAAGATAAATCATTCCCTAGAAATATGAAAAAAAATTTAAAATGTACAAAAATCTATTAAATGTAATTTAATATGTATAAAATCAACATAAATGTTTTTTAAAATAGGATTATGTAATTTGAAGTTATCATTTCATTACTTTTATTCTATTATATAATTTTAAATGACTACAATAAAAACATTAATAAATTCAGTAATGTTCACTATTGGTTAAACATCAATATTTTAATGTAGTCTGTTAAATAATAGAGAATACTGTATTTTAAAGAAATATCGATTATTTACTTTATTATCTAATAAAATTTGTTTACTAAATATATTTAATTTAAAGAAATATAAATTTTCTAATATGTAGAAAAATACATTATTTTCTGTGAGAATCTTATTTACGATAATATGAGTCATAGTTTCTATTTAGAAAACCATAATCACATTCTAATCCCTGCGGTTAGAAGCTGATAAAGCAATAAACATTTATGCCCAGACACAAATATTAAGTTTGTGGTCAGCTAAATATTTGTGGTTGTTCCTTACAATATTTATTCTTTATAATTAATATAGCTATGTAAATAGAGTAACACACATTATATAAAAAAAATTAAATAAAATGAAAAAGTAGAAAAATAATTTGTATAATCAAAGTTATTGAAGTAGAATTGCAGATTAATATACCGTTTATTATCTATAGCCTATAAATATTAAACTACATAGGATTTGTATCATAAACTAAACTACTTGTAAATTTCACTTTTATTTTAATTTAATTCATAGAAAACTCGACGAAAATTGAATCTTCCAGGAAAGAAACTTGCGAGATCACCGTTTTTACTCATACAATATCCACTCATTGATGAAGTAAGATAAAGCTGACAATATCTCGGAATCGTTTCAGAGAATATCGTTTCTGAATAGTGCTGATATTTCACGATAAATTTAGAGAAAGGTTTCACGATGCATATAAAATATTTTACTATTCACTTACACAATGCCACGTAACAAAATATCGGGAAAAATCATGATATGATACCAAGTAACGCTCGAATATCATGACATCAGCTAAGTTAGGATGCAATAAAATCTCTACACTTTAATGTATTTTACGCAATTTTATTTAACTTCCTAGTAACGAAATAAAAATATAAGAAAAAGAATTAATGCAATATTATTTAGAACTTAGCATTATTATATTTTAAAAAGTTAAAGGTTATTGCATTATTTCCATATCTGTAGTGTTAATATCAAAATATACATTATCAAGTAAGAAATCGAGGCAAAATCCTTTTATGATGTTAAATATCTTTCGTATAACTTCATTTTTTAATAAAATCTAATTTACTTTTATAATATATTTCAACAGAATGTCTTACGATAAGAAAATGTGCTGCGATAACAAGAAGTAAGCTCGATAAAGCAGGAAACGTTATTTTGCCAAATTGTTTGCACAATCATTTGTAATTCCAAAAGATATCATCAGAATGGCTTACTACATACTTAAACAAGTAAGCTCATGTTATATAGAACAGTTTATTTGCTACGATAACCTCGCAATGCACGTAATAAAACAACAGGAAAGATTTAGATAATTATTTATCAATAAAGACTTATGTAAAATTTCATATAATAATATTAACTATAAATGGCAAAATTACTAATCTAAACATCTTTCAATCGTATTTAAAATCTAATTAATTATTTGTATTTTAAACTATTGTAAAATTAATTTAAAGTAAATAATAAGCACATCTATAAAATTGACAAATCAGAATTAAATGTAATTTGCTTTCTCTTTGTAAAATATAGAAAGCATAAAAAATATCTTACATTTTAAACAGTATAAAATTTTTTTATTACTTTGTATCATAAAAGATGTAAAGAAACATAACTTCACACAAACTCTTCATTTTATTAAAACAGATTTAGTCACAGATCTCAAGTAAATCTATGATTATCTTCGAAAATTATTGTGTAAAAACAAAGTGTGTTTGTATATAAATATATATCTCATGTAAAATCAATTTATTTTAAATCCTACATTTTAGATAAAAAGTCAAAGTATCACAAAGGAATTAACATAACTATCCATTCTTTTTTTAATTATCTAAAAGAGTACATAAATATTAAACTGTATAGAATTGTCGCTATATCTTTCCAATAGGTTAAAGCACTGTACTGTACAGGCAAAATATTTCGCAATATTGTTTCCTACGGAAACAGTGTTGCGGAAGTATCATCGAATATGGCTTCTAAGTGTATAAATAACATTTGATAATGGCATTCATGTGTACTGTTTATATAGATATGTTAAATATTTTATTCTATATAAAACGAAGTAGTGTACTACATATATCTAGTTATTTGTATTTAATACGAAATATATTATAAATAATAAAGGAAGAAAGCTTAACATATTTGTTTTTTAGAAATAAAGAACAGAATATAAACGTAATATTTTCGTGCTTTCATTTTGATAATAAATGAGAATATAAATCAATTATGTAGCAATTTAAATAAATGCTTAACATAAATACAATATTACAATATTGGCACGACGATATTTTAAAAGATTCAATAATATTTCACTAACTTATAGAAAAATTAGAAATATTTTATCATTATTTTTTACAAAAAGTAACGCTTGAAAACAAACTTCTAAACTGTATTAATTGTTTGTTACCGAAAAAAATAAGATAAATATTATTTGTAAAATAAAATATTTACCTAAAAATGAGTAAAATATTTTTCTACAACAAGAAACCTACTAAAATATAAATAACATTAAACATTTCAAGGAATAAAAATTAAACTCACTTTAATTAAATCGGACACGAGAGATGCCACGAACATATTATCTAAATTTAAATCTTCATTTTTTAAAACATCCTAAAATATAAGATAATAAGAGTTTTATATTTTTACAATTGTTGGATTATTTATTATAAGAATTATCAATAAATTACTTCTAGACTTCCTCTGCTACAATAAAGAGTCATGACGCAAATATGAGGAGGATCGACTGATGCACCAATGAATGGATTGATATTTTCGTGTCTTAATTCTCTCATCTATAAATATTATTATATTTATATTATCATTATTATTAGATCAATAATACAGTTAATATCCTACTTACTTGGATCATTTCTTTACGTAGAGCTCGCGTGAGATCGATGCTCCTCTTATAAACTGGTTTAATGTAGACGATGTTTCCTTTATAAAAGCCAATTTTGGACGTGAAAGGCGTAAATGATTCTTGTTCTTTATCCGTTTCTGTGGGAACTTGTAATTTATTTCCATCATAATGCTGGAACTATGACATTAAAAATGGAAAAATGCATATATAATAACTATAATTCATCAAATTGTTTTAAAATGGTATTAAAATAATAATTTTAATAAATAATAAGTGTAATTTTAGAGTGAAAAGTTCAAATGAAAACAGAATTTTAATATAATTTATGAAAATATATCACTAAGTAAATCCGATAAAAATAAATAATATTTCTTTATAAATCACGTGAGTTTTATGAAAAATAATAATTTTTTAAGTATATAAAGGATAATAAATAAAATGTACAATGTTTTCTTAAAATTTAAATTTATAAAATTGATTAAAAAAGTTTTAAAAAACAAATTACTAAGAGAAAATGGATTAGATATTTAAAAAAGAAAATATATAAAAGGCACAACTGGGAAATTAAAAAAAATAAAACTTTCATCGAAGAAGAAGCAAATTTTACATTTTATAACATGATAATTTTCAGAAAATTCTCCGCTTTACTTCACATCAAGTCATAAAACGACAAGCCGAAAGAAACTGTAGTAATACAAATTCTTTAGAAAATTATAACCATTACCTAATTCGTAGAATCATTATTGTGTGAATGAAAAGTATTTAAAATTTGTCAAAAAATGTAAAGAATTTTATCTTTCTTCTACTAATTAAATTTAGAATTTAAAAAATCTTACATATTTATATATATGTTATATTATCGAAAACTTAAAAACTACCATAAAAGAAACAACAACAACAACAATAATAATAACCATAAATCGATACATGTAAACTTTTCTAAATATTATGTCGAATAAGCAATATAAAAACATTATATTAAAACATAAATTAATAATTTTATTTAATGCAAAATATAGCGTAGAATGCATTGAAATTTATGAGAAGTAAAAGTTTTGAAATTTAAATACTAAATAATTTTAGTACTAAATTCTGTTTGATATTAGCGTTTTAAATATTAAATTCTTATTGTTACGTGTTTAATATTTATTAAATAGTATTAATTAGTCAAAAATCAAGATACGATTTAATTAATTTTCCTTCAGGACAAGATGATTCTTCTGTCTCTTAATTATTTTCGTGTAATCAGAGTAAAAGTAGTAATAAGCCAATGATTTAATTAAACTTACGGGAATTCTATTTGCGTGTCTTTCCTATTTCATGATTCTAAGTAAAATTATTAATTCTTAAAAATTTCGTTTGTATGGGAATTAATCAGTACTTAAATATCACGTGAAGTCTGTAGGATTTCCTCAACAGAAACAGAAATAAGTTTCTAATGTATAAAAATTTCTAAATTCTACTTACGTTAATTGTATTTCGAAAATTCTGTAACGTGTAATCAGAGTTTGTACGAAGCAAAGTAACTTCTTTAATGTCAATTTTCCATAATAAACGAGCTAATTTATGTTCGTAATGATAATGCCTAAAAGTTGAATTAAAAATATATTTAATTTTTATATTTATATACATAACATTTTATACATAATCCTTAATAAATTTAATGAAAAACACATTAAAATTATATTATTAAACATAAGTACAAATGTATTAATATATAAACGTTTAATATAAACTTTTTAAATGTTTCATTTATTAATCAAAAATGTTTAAGCAATTTTTTTTTTTTTTTTAAAATCCAATAAAATATTAAAAGTATATGTCACTTATATGCTTAATTTTAATTTTAATTACTACTTTTAACTTTCAATTCTTAAATTGATGAATTAATTAAATTAATTAATTCATCAATTTATTTTTAAATTAATATTTATAAAAATTTCACATGGAGTTGAAAATATTTAAATATAATATCGAGAATTATAGGTTAATAATTAACACGTAATAAAAGCATTTACATTTAATTAACTTAATTAAATTTTCAAACATAATTACCTTAAAATAAAAAACCCCGCAATACTAATTAAGGCAATGGAAGCCGTGCATATTAATATTATTTTCCATTCTGTAAAGAGAAATTCTTTTTAAGTCTATGGCTAAATATTTAAATGAGAAGTTTATAATCTTGTGCAAAATTACCTTTAGAACATTTCTTTCCATCGAAACCGCATTCTGGTTCGGATTTCGGAACATCGTTTATCCAATTTATTTCCTTTTCTAGAATAAATTTCTGGATAATATTTTTAAAAGATTAAAATTATTGAAAATACTCCAAAAATTAAACATGACGAAGTATAAAAATAAAATACTTGCAGGTAATTCATCTTTCTCTTTGCGGCCAAACCTGGCAACAGCTCTCATACTCCAGTTACCACTTTCATCGGGTAAGTAAGCTAAAAGAGTATAATTTCCTTCAACGTCACCATTCCCGTCTATCAGCACTTTAAATCCAAGAACACCTACAGGTTTCGGAGCATTATAAATAATAATATTCCTTCTAAAATACTGTAAACTTTTTACAGTTTTCCTGAATTACTTTTCAAATATCCTAATGTATGTGATAAAATATTCAGGAAAAATCGCAAAATATCAGAAAAATCGTTAATTTGTTTACATATAAAACAAGAAATAAATTTTAATAACTACAAAATCAATTTTCCCGAGTGCTTAAACATTTACAACATTACTAAATTGTAAGTTAAGAAATACAAGTTGTTAAAAATAATGAAAATAAAAAGTTAATGATATTTTTTTCGTTAAAAATTTATATCAAAATATTAATTTTATATAAAAAATAAATTTAGAAAATAATTCCTTTATGTACTATAATATATGAGGTGAGAAATGTTCTATTTTTTTTTTATTTTTTTTGTAATCTCAAAGAACTAGTTAAATATATGATTTTCAGACATGTTTATCAGGAAATATAAGAACGAAGATGTCGGAATCACTTAACAACATCTTTACTCATAAACAGTAAAACATTTACTACTATTTGAATTGTCAATACACGTTGTTAATATTTTTTTCTTCTTTTGTATTCTAAAATTGGCATGCATTATAAGAGAGAAAGCACTTTTCTTAAATGAGATTGTTTGTCTGAATTTGTTCGAATACAGAAAAGTTTTTACAAAAACCAAAGTAATAAACAGCGTTACATATTCCTAACATCCCTTAGGATTAAGTTTAGTAAGTAGTTTTCAACAGCATCAAAGAAATGTAATTTCTCTTATTGAATATTCAACTAATGTATACTCTTTTGATGGTAATGATATCTTAATGCATTAAGTATCCACGTATTTAAATTATTTTAATGACAAAACTTAATCAGAAGCACTTTATCGTATAAAAAATATTTCATTTTATAAATATTCAGTTATATAAACTGAAATATAATACTGAATTATTTGAAAAAAGTATACTAAAAGTTATAACCGAGTGATTTATTTTTTTTTAAACTACTTACTTAGTTTTATAAATATTTTTAAACATAAATGATAAATTTATAAAACTTTAAGTATTTATATATTTTATTTTAATAAATTATTTACTTAGAAAAAGCTTTACATATTTTTTATTTAAAATATAAAATTATAAAATTATT